CCCGTGCTTAAGGGCGAAACACTGTCGTTAAGAATATTGGTAAGTCACATTTGATCGATATTTAGCCAAATTTAAACTACTTGGATAATAAGTTTCAAAGCGTGACCCTAAGGCTTGTTGATGATCGTACAAAATTGACAATGTTGGTTCTTAATTTAGGTGGACCACTCGATCGTGGAGAGCTTTGCGCAAGGGGGCAGGGCGAGCGCAACATCTCGGGTGTATCCAACGGAAGCAATTTACAGCTCGGCGAAAGTTTTCCTTTTCAACAATGCAACCGGGGCTAGTATTACCGCCCAAAGCTTGAAGATATGGCATATGAACTCAACATTGAGCCGTCCTTTCGACTTCAATGATGGAGCGCAAGCGCAATAAGAAGGCCTGCCTAGCTCCAATATTTTTTATTTTTTATTTTTTTTATTTTTATTTTTTTTATTTTTTTTTTGGTGGTGTGTTGAGTTGATATCATCCCTATTGTTTCGATTTTTAGAATTGCTCCTATTCGAGTTTGTAAACTAGTGGTTATGGAAAATTTGTAGATTATGTAAGTTTTCCTCTTTTTTTTCATTTTTCACTTTTTTATCGCTGGAAGCTGGGTTTTTTCAGCAAGTGTAAGCATATTGCATGTTACTAATATCTAGGTTGTCAATGAAATTCCTTCAAGAAGGTTGTTAATGAAATTATTAAAGTTTGTTATATTTATTATTTTATATTTATTTATTTACTCTCTTTTTTTTCTTTTTTCTTTTTCTGTGTGTGTGTGAGAGAGAGAGAGGAATAGGTTGTTATATTAGGTGTAGAATCTTTACGCCTGTGCGCTACAATTATCACAAACTTTAGGCCCGCATAAAATTTCATAACCCAAATAATGGTTTTCTTCTAGAATACAACCAACTAAATATTTGAAGCTCCGACTTTTTCATTTCGTGCGGTCCAATGATGAACCATTCGGTCCATTATAATATTTATTGCCTACTGTTTCTGTTCATAAGCCACCCAGGCAGTCAAGTTGCATAAAATTCCAAAGCTTTTTGTCACCTATCACAGTTCAAGTAGAAATGCACGGCCTAAAACAAACGCTGAAACATTACAAATAATGATTGCTAAAGGCTAAAAAAATTAAGAAGAAATCAAGTTAATAAGTTAATAATACAAAAAGGAAAAAAAAATTTTAAAAACACCAGGTTTAATATGGTTCGTCAAAACAAAAAAAGGATGCTATTCACATCACCACATCACCATCTCCTCTATGTACCTTTCGCTCCCCATCTCTGATCATTAGTCCCATATAAACACCACATATTTCCCTTCAATTCCCAAACACTTTTTCGTTGTGGTCATTGTTCTTGTAGCCACACCGGGGGTGATCTCGCCATGGGCTCACCGGACCTCGAGTCTCACGCTCCCTTGGTGCGCGGAGCCGCTCTTGAGTCCCGTCCTCCGCGGAGGAATTTAGGGCTGCTCTTACTCGGGCCTTTTGTTGCCTCTCTCTTGGCTCTAGTCTACTTTCTCGGCGATAAGCCGGGTTCGAGCCAGGGTTTGGGTTCGAGCCAGGGTTTGGGTTCGAGTTCGGGTTCGGACGAGGACGAGTTCCCCTGGACTGACAGGATGCTTAAGTGGCATCATACCGCCTTCCATTTTCAGCCCCCGAGAAATTTTATGAGCGGTAAATTTCTTTGAAAAAATCTCTATAGGATTTTTTGGTTTATGTCAATATATTCTTCGCTGATTTTGTTTTAAAATTTCGTATTCGTGATTTGGTGGATGGTGGGCTGGTTTCGCTGGCGTGCTCATCAGATCCTAGCGGTAAGTCGACGCTGAACTTTTTTTTTTCCTTTTTTTTTCCATATAAGCTTTAAAATATGTATTGAAAAAAAAATAGTACTTTTTGTTATGCTCCCAAGATTGTAAAGAGGCTAGCTCTCAATATTATCCAATTTAGTCTTTTTGGTCATTCGTGAAATTTCCTCAGTTTCTTTTTTTTTTCGTTTACCTACGGACCTTGTCCCCTTTATAAAGTTCCATTTTTCATCAAAAAAAATAAGTATTGGAATTCAATATTACAATTGCTTCAAGCCAGGCCTTCATGTTTCTAAATGGTTAAGAATAAATAAACTATTTTTTATTTAGTGTGGTTTTAATTTTTGGAAGAAAAAAAAATTGTTCTTAGCTTCGCGTGAGTATCTCTATCTGCGCACAGCGCATGATTGTTTCACTGGTCACGGTCGACATCGTGTAGGATATTTTAAAAAATACCCACCTTTGTCTCCGTATCTTGGATTCGATCCACGTGCCAGTTTTTAAAACAAAAAGGACAAAAGAATTAGGAGCGTCCCGGACTTTATTTTTGATAATTTGTTAGAGCCTTATACTGATCAAAAGAAAATGGGATTTAAATCTTGATCTTTTGTTCCAAACTTCAATTGCTCACAGCTCACAACTCAATTGCTGAAAGTAAAAGATTTATTTGAGTCTCGATGCGATTGCATCATTCGGAGCCTAGCATGTAGTTACAACTAAAAAAGTTTAGTTACAGAGGCGTTTAGATCAACAAGTGATTTTGGCCTATATAAGATTAATTTTATATACATCTCACGTACCATGAGGGTATACTTACTTATACTGTGATATTGGTTTTCAAATTAGTGTGAGATGTTGAATAAAAAATTAATAATAAATTTAACCGATAAGAAAAAGTAAGGATCCGATCAGAGCTATTCCTATGGGAGTGAGATGATCTACACCATAAATAAAGGACATGTGACTCTCAAACTAACCCTTTAACTATCCGTGAATGGTATAGATCATCTTTTTCTGTAAAGTTTTTTTTGATAGAGTCCTTACTCTAATTTTATCCTCTATATTTTATGAGAAAGAAAAGGTAATATTAATTGAGATTTGACAAATAAAAGTAAGAATAGATATATCTTGGGGGGTGGGGGCGTATAAGTATATATATAACCATTATATAGAAGGTGTATCCATTAGAAATATAACCATTTTTCCTTTTCTTATTTTTCTTAAGAAGTTGTTATTGACGACGGACTAAGTGAGGGTTTAAGAAGTCTTGAACTCTTCTTAACCTGTTGAACACAAAAAAAAAAAAAATAGATGCTTTAAACTAAGTTAATCCATCTTAGTTTGTAAAACACAAAACTGTAGAGGATTAAGGTAATTCCTCTAGAGGGGTCAAAGCGAGTGATTTTTACTGATCCACTTGTTTATACGGGATAAGAGATAAATCCTTCTCTTTAATCCCTCTTTCAATAACAGTGGCTTAATAAGTTTTGGTGTGTTAAATGGCCATTAGATCGTTCAAGACGGCCCTTGGATCCTATACCGAACAGCCCAAATCAGAAGGGTATTGATTAGAAGCTGGTTTGTAGATGGGCCTTGGATCCTATATTAAATAAGTCGAAATGAGAATATTCGGATCCTGAACAATTTTGACCGCTGAATACTTCTAGATTTAAACCAAATTATTCCGTTTGGGCTTGGGTCCACTGAGGGGATATTTAGTTTGGAAGAGGTAATTAAAGTAGTAAATAGATTAAATAAGTAACTTCTAAATTTATTTATGATGTAAGAAATAGTAAAAATAATGTTTTTATTTGTTTCGCATATTTTTTAAAATAGTAAAACTAGTAGTTCTTATTGTTCATTCCCTTTTTCTGTTTGGATGGCAATTAAAAGTTATTAGGAAGTAATTAATAAAGGGCATGTTAATAAGAAAAGTTATTTATTAACTAATTAATACACAATTTCGTCTACTTCGGGGCTACTTCAAAGCCTTAAGAGACGGGAAAGCATTTAGGCCCCGTTTGGCAAATGGTTAAGAAAAAAGGGTTAAATAGAAGGATTAATGTACTTATCTCATTCGATAATCTGAATGACTAAATTATTAAGCCGTTAAATAAATTTTATTTTAGCCTTTGTGATCAGTTTTAGTGTTTGGGAATAACAATGATTTTGATTATTTTTTTTATAATTAGAAGGGTTAACTCTTAATCCTTCTAAATAGGAGTATTAGTAAACCCCTCATTTTGAAGGGTTAACTCATTTTAATCCCTCTAGAGGGGTTAGCTTAACTCTTCTATATTTTATATGTTTGGCAAATTATAGAGGGTTAACTCACTTTAATATTGTATAGAGTTTTTGTGTTTGACGGGTTAAGAAAGAGTTAAGTCTTCTTAACCCCTCACTTAACCATTTGTCAAACGGTACCTTAGGAAATAAGGATGACACGTAGGCACCACATCAACGTTTAAGGAAGCATTGGAAGTAGATTTTTTAAAGAAAAAAACATATGTTTTAGCTCGGAAATGGCAGAAATAGCTTCTATTTCCTTTACTTCATAATTACTTCCGTGCAAATAAACAGACCCCAAATAAAGCAAATGCACGGATTAAGAAAATCAACGAAAGAACGACATAAATTAATTGACGAAAAAACAAAAATAGAAATTTATGGACAATTAGAGGGGAAGAGAGAGAGAGAGAGAGAATCAAATGGTATCACGCCCATGGTATTAAATACGTATAAAAGTGTTTCATTCATTGAATCACTAGATTTCGGATTCATGCGCTGATTCCATAGTTAACATTCTTTTAGTGCGCATTTTACGCCATGTATTGGGTATTTGGGTCCATTGGATTGGATACTTTTTTAGAAAAAGGAGCATGCGTGGGTTGAAGAACCGAGGCAACGATCAATTCGGTTTGTTTGGACCAAAATTTTGCTCGCAACCGAACCAAACTGAGCTTTTAGAACCAACCGAACCAAAACGATACTAATTTTAAACCGTGCCCAAATTCTTGAGAATAAGGGCCTGTTTGTTTCACCAGTTTTATGGAATAGGAATGATATTTGGACCTGATAGTGGCGTTTTCGTAATTAATGGATTCCAAATGAATCCTAATCCTGAGTTTGGTTCAAAATTTTTTTATAGAATTGCTAATCTATAAAGTGGCTCAAACAGTGTATATTTCAGGAAATCCAAATCCAATCCATTTGCTAGGAATTGGACGGAATTTTTGACACTTCTCATCTTTTTTATTCTGATTCCTAATCCTATTCCTAATCCTGTGGGTGAAACAAACATAGAATTCAAAAAAAAATGGGATTCCATAAAACTAAAACTTGTCTATAAATTTTGTATGGATTAGATTGGAATCCATAAATAAAATAGGATTCCTAATCCTATTCCTACCCTCTATTGAACCAAACAGGTCCTAATGGTAAAGTCTAGTTTGGCACACGGCATGAGACTGAGGCGGAGTGAAATGCTCATCCTCTCACCCCCGACCAAATTCATTCATTCATTCCGTTCTCATACGATGTTGCGTTGCCTCCTAATTAGTTTCAACACGCAGGCCCCATATACTACAGAGGGTGGTACCACTTCTTCTACCAGCACAACACGAACGCCGCCTACTGGGGCCACATAGCGTGGGGCACGCCCCCGGCGCCGCACCTCCGACCGTCCTGAACTGCGTCCACCTCCCAGACCCGTCGCTGTACCCGACCACTGGTACGCCGCCACAGTCGAGGCGAATGGACCGGCCGTGTGGCCCTCCCGACGGCGAGTGTCATGCACCGCCCGTCACCGGCGCGTCGGGCGCCGGTCGCAACTGAGCTGGCGAGTCGTGTACGATCGCCGTGGGCTGTGACCGCTGACGACCCGCTGCTGACGAGGTGGGTGAAGCAGGAGGGGAATCCCGTGCTTGTTTCCCCGCCGGGGATCGGGCTCAAGGATTTCAGGGACCCAAACCCCGCCTGGTACCGTACTACGTACCCTTCCTTCATTAATTTATTCTCAACTTTCTAGCTAGCTAGTGAAGATAATTAATTGGCTTTTTTTTAATTAAGTAAAATAATTTACGTACTGTAAGATATATTCATTCAATTCGGAGCCCTACGTACGATAATACCCCGTCACCGACTGCAGGTACGACTCCTCCAGCTCAACGTGGTACGTCCTCGTCGGCTCCAAGAACGACTCCCTCTCCCACACCGGCATCGCCCTCGTCTACACCACCACCGACTTCCTCTCCTACACCCTCCTCCCCGGCATCCTCCACTCCGTCGACATCGTCGGCATGTGGGAGTGCACCGACCTCTACCCGGTCTCCGTCTCCGGCCCCTCCACCCACCTCGGGCTCGAGAACTCCGTGCCCCCCGGCGAGAACGTGAAGCACGTGCTCAAGGCGGGCCTGAACGACGAGTGGCACGACTACTACGCCATTGGGACCTACGACAGGGAGGGGAACAAGTGGACCCCCGACGACGAGAGCCTCGACGTCGGGATTGGGCTGAGGTACGACTGGGGCAAGTTCTACGCGTCGAGGACTTTTTACGACCCGGTGAAGCGGAGGAGGGTGCTCTGGGGCTACGTTGGGGAGACTGATACTAGGAGCGTCGACGTCCAAAAGGGCTGGGCTTCTGTTGAGGTAATTACCATTAATTAATCTGTTCCCAATTAATTTAATTTGGTCTACTTGCTGCTACGTGTGATTAGTGCAGGTGGGAAGGTTCCCCTTGATATTTAATCACTTGAAACTTTAGAACCCTGAAATGAAATTAGTCCCTCGAATTTTTTGATTCGCTAGTATATATAGTTCCCCGCGATTCTTATAGTTAGATGTTATTGCTGTTGATCGGAGCTAGTGACTAATTAAGTCCAACGATTTGCGAGACTAGTTTTGAGACAATTTATAAGAACCGAGGGGACCTCGTCACAATGATACGGGGGATTAATTTCAAAACACGAAAGGTCTCCGTTTGGCAAAAGGTTAAGGTTTCAAGGGATTAATTAAAGAGAATGATTAACATATACGGTTAGTCCATTCGATAATCCGAATAATTAAATTATTAACTCGTTATATAAGTTTTATTTTAGCTCTTATGATCATTTTTGGCGTTTGGAAATAGCAATAAGTTTGATTATTTTTTTTATAATTAGAAAGATTAACTCTTAATCCTTCTAAATAGGAGTATTAGTAAACCCCTATATATTGAGGAGTTAACTCGTTTTAATCATTCTAAAGGGGTTAACTTAACCCTTCTGTATCTTTTACGTTTGGCAAATTATGGATGACAAACTCATTTTAACCATTGTGTATAGGTTTTTTGTGTTTAGCGGGTTAAGTGTCTCCTTAGCCCCTCACTAGTATCGTTATCATTACAGTCGTGTAACTAGTACAGAGTCTGATATATGCGAGCCATTTTATACGGACAGGGCCTTCCTCGAACAGTGCTGTTTGATGTAAAAACGGGGAGCAACCTTCTGACTTGGCCGGCTGAGGAGGTGGAGAGCCTCAGGTCAAGCAGCAAGAATTTCAGCAACATCGCCATCGCCGCAGGGTCCACCGTCCATCTAGACGTCGAGGATGCCAATCAGGTACCCCTTCGATCAGACCCTTTTTGGACGCATAATTTTTATGTCCACACATTAAGAATATTATTTTCGAATAAAAGACTTCAGTTTCTCATCACATCCATTATATTCAATTCAGTTGTGGGTTTGGTCTATTCAAGCTTATAACTAAACAGGGATCAACCAATTAATTAATTAACTAGAGAAAATAGATATATACCCTATGTACGCGCAAAAAAAAAGCACAACACGCATGAATCTTGTATGATGCTTTCGCCATATGATATTATTGTAGCTGGACATAGAGGCCGAGTTCGTGATCAAGAAAGAGGAACTCGAGCTCGCTATTCAAGCTGATGTCAACTACAACTGCAGCACAAGCGACGGGGCTTCGCAAAGAGGTTTGCTCGGACCCTTTGGCCTGCTCGTGCTCGCGAACCAAGATCTCTCGGAGCAGACTGCAACCTACTTTTATGTCGGTAGGGGAACTGATGGCAGCCTCCAAACTCACTTGTGCCAAGATGAACTGAGGCAAGTTAATTACGCAATATCGTGCAAACATTTGATTGAAATTAGAAGGCTAATTAAGTATAATTTGCATGCAGGTCGTCTAAGGCTAATCAGATCACTAAGAGGGTTGTAGGGCACACGGTTCCCGTGCTTGATGATGAGACGCTAACGTTGAGAATTTTGGTAAGTACTCTCGCAGTAACGTAACTTATAAATGCTATTGTTTGTACTGTCTCGGTTAGGCAAAAAGTTAATCCCCGGTTGGGGAGATAAAAAAAAGAAAAGAAAAATAGCTTGATGAATAGTTAAATATGTTTGGACTTGTGACTCAAATTAATCTTTGAAAAACACTACAGGCACACCCTCAGCCACACCCCCCTCCTGCTACAGTGCGGGGGGCCCACATGAGATTTTAAAAAAAAATTTAAAAATCTCATGTGGGCCCCCTGCACTGTAGCAGGAGAGGGGGTTTGGCTGAGGGTGTGCCCAAGGGTGTGTCTGTAGTGCCTCCCTTAATCTGTTTAGGTAAATTGGGTTGAAATAGACTAGCCTATTGCTAGGCCATCTTTGTTAATGGACCTTTCCAGCCAATATATAGTTAAAGATTTCATATATCATTTTTGTCTTTATTTCTTATAAAAGTTTAGATAGACCGTTAATTAGATGTGATTTATTATATTGCAAGTACCAAGACACAAGATATTGATCACTTTCAGCTTGTTTTAAACATATATAACATTTATGTCAAAATCAGTGTCTCATAATTTCTTAAAATTGATAACCTTTTGTCCCTTACCACTTGAAAATCATTTAAAAAGAAATTTTTTTTCTAGATAGTCCACGTACGTTAAAAAAAATTGAGGCTTAAGTGACATTTTCAAACTTTTCGCGGTTATCTCAAAATAGGCTAGGCTTTTTGAGCCGAAAAATTAACAATCATGAATCCCTTTCTATATATATTTTGTGGATGCAAATGTTTCACAAAAAAAAGATGTTGATGTCACTCAATCCAATTTAGGTGGATCACTCCATTGTTGAGAGCTATGCTCAAGGGGGGAGAGCGAGCACCACATCTCGTGTTTATCCGACGCAAGCAATCTACGAGGATGCCAAGGTCTTTCTCTTCAATAACGCGACCGGAGCCACTGTGATCGCCAAAAGTGTGAAGATATGGCAAATGAGCCCTACATCCAACCGCTCCCATGGCTACCCTGGCTCCCAAGCTCTCTGAAATTTATCAGTTTCGTCGATCCACCGGTTTAATAAAATAATCTTGAACTTTCGTATTCATGAGCTAGCTATAATATTGTCATTGATTGGCACAATTTGTTTGCAAATTAGTTAATGTATTGAAGGTGTGGCCGTCTATATTTTTGGTGTGTGACAGTGTGTGAGGTTATGTTGTCTATGTTGTAGCCAAGGTGTCATTTGTAGTCATAAATATGCATCATTTATGTTAAACATCATCTTGGCACAATACTTTTCAGATGACTTCTAATCTTTTAGCTAAATCAAAATTTTATGCTTTTATTTGCAAATAGCGACGGGATTTTCTTGACTTTGATGCTGAAGTGTTAGCCTTTTCTATCTAATAAATGTTGAAATTAACAAAAGTAACATCAATGGATAAATGAGATTGTAACATTAGGAGTAAGATGCAACTTAAATTAAATATTTTGACTCTGAGAATAAGTTTTACTTAATTTTCTTAAGAATGTTATGCTAGAAAAAAGAGGAAAGATCAAAGCAGAGCATATGATTTTTTTTTTTTTTTCGAAATGCTTGTCGTCAAAAACTAGTTTGAGTCACTGTGCGCCTTAAAACACCGAACTTAAAGCAAAATCTGACATACTCTGATGCGAAGATCCCAAAGTCGAATTCCTTGCAGAAACATCAACTTGAATATACTTGTGTGCACCAACCAGACCCTCCATGATCATCTTGATCAAGTTTAAGCACTAGACAACCTCATTGGTCTGACTTCAGACTATGACCTTCTCGGTCTGGCATAGAGTTAGAGTCAAACAGGCACTGTAGTTTTCTAGAGGACACTAGTGGAAAACAGCAATTTACCGACGGAACAATAGCGACGGACATTTCCGTCGCTATAAAACTACTCATCTTGATCAAGTTTAAGCACTAGACAACCTCATTGGTCTGACTTCAGACTATGACCTTCTCGGTCTGGCATAGAGTTAGAGTCAAACAGGCACTGTAGTTTTCTAGAGGACACTAGTGGAAAACAGCAATTTACCGACGGAACAATAGCGACGGACATTTCCGTCGCTATAAAACTACTTATAGCGACGACAAATTCCGTCGCCATTGTTCCGTCGGTAAAGTTATTTTACCGACGGAAATTTACATTTTAGCGACGGAATTAGCCGTCGCTAAACATATGTAGCAACGGATTATTAGCGACGGAAATTTCCGTCGCTAATAACTTATTTAGCGACGGAAATTTCCGTCGCTAAATATGTGCATACTGAAAAATTTTTGGGCGCGGGCGCCCAAAACTTTTGGGCTGCCCGCGCCCCACAAAACCCCCCACCCCCCACACTCGAACCCCTGCCCCCCCCACACCCGAAATCGTGATGACAGACGATAATCGCCCCCCCTCTCTCCCGAACCCGCCCTCTCGCGAGATCCAACACGCCGCCGTTCGCCGACGCGCCGACCGCGAAATCTCCACCCCGCCGTTCCGCTCGGCCGCCAGGGGGCGGCCTTCCTTCCGGCCGCATTCACTGCGCTTTGTGGCCCAGAGGAGGGGCGGAGTGTAACCCTCTCTCCGCCTTTCCAACCTGCGTCTCTCTCTCTCTCATCCCTTGCTCATCTCTCTTCCCCCCTCATCTCTTAGCCCTCCTCTCTCCCTCTCGATGTGTTCTCCTCTCTCGTGTCGATCTGCCGCGACTGGCGGGCTCGACCAACTGCCGCCGGCCGGCCGGCCGCGGGCGTCGGCCGACGTGAGAGAGGGAGAGAGAGGGAGAAATTGAGGAGGTGTTTCGGTTAGGGATGGAGTTAGGGTTTGTGATGAAATTAGTTTACTGTGTAATTTGAATTTTGACAAAATTAATGAAATCAATGTTTACTTGTAATAAAATGATTTTTGATGAATGTAGTTACTTTGTAAGTAAAAATGTTAATTTTGATGAAATTATTGATATAAAAAAAGTTAATTTAATTAAGAGGTTAGGATTAGGCCGAGGGTTAGGGTTAAGGGTTAGGGTTAGGGTTAGGGTTACGGGTTGTCGAGGTATCAGGTGCGTGGTTAGGCGTTCGGTGCACGGTTATGGGTGGCGAGGGGTTAGGCGTGAGGGTGGGGTTAGGGTTAGGGTTAGAAATGGTTATTGGTTAGAGGTTAGGTGAGGTTTAGGGTTAGGTTAGTGTTTGGTTAGAGAGTTAGGGTTAGGGTTAGGGTTCGGTTCAGGGTTATGGGTTCGGGTTACGGTTCGGCGGGGTTAGGGTTCGCGTTACGGTTAGGGTTAATGGAGTTATACGGTTAGGGTTAGGGTTACGGTTCGGGTTAGGGTTAGGTTAGGGTGGCGGGTTCGGGTTAGGGTGGGCTGTGAGATGTGAGTTTGAGGGTTAATGTTAGGTTAGGGTTAGGGTTTGGAGGGTGAAGGTTCAGGGTGAGTGAGGGTTGGAGGGTGAGGCGTTAGGTGATCGTGACGGTTGAGGTTGAGGGTTAGCGGTCAACTATTCATACCGAGGGGGGTGTTAAGGAGTTGCAGCAGGCTTTCTTGTTATCGCTGTGTGCGTGTCATCCACT